TTAATGCATTTATAGTTTAAACGAAATTTTCGCGTTGAGCGTGAAAGCGCGCAATATTTAATTGCAAAATACGAAAGCAGTTCATCCTACGTAAGGAGGAATTACAGAGGGGGGAGACCACAAGCAACGCCAAGCACACATGTGTTGTTGTTTTTATGGTAAAATTGGAATGATTCTATCTATGTGCTTATAAAAAGTAATTTTCTTATGTAGGTTTTGCAGCAATAAAACAACCATACGTGAAGTTAGCAATCTATTTAATATGTCTTATTCTTCTGTCCATAACGTGCTAAATAATGTTATGTCGTTTTTGCTTGAAATTTCACCGGACATCATAAAATTCCCTGAAAGTGATACTGAAAAAGAGATTATAGCACACGATTTTGCGGCAATCTGTGGCTTCCCTAACGTATTAGGCTGCATTGCAGAAACCTACATTTCGACAAGGGCGCCAAAAAAAACAGTTCGTTCCACATATATAAATAGGCACGATACTATTTCCGTGCCCATGCAGGGTATATGCGACGCAAATTTAAAATTTATAGACGTTTTCACTGGTGCACCGAGTAAAGTGCATGAGTCGCGGTTGTTGAAGTTATCTTTCATTAGTAAGAAACTTCCAAAGTTATGTTTACCAAAATATCATCTGTTAGGTGATTCTGATTATCCGATCAGAAATTTCTTGTTAATTCCATATATGGATTACGGAAATTTAACTGAGCAAGAAAAGATGTACAATTACAAACTTAGTCAAACTCGGATGCGAATAGAAAACGCCTTTGGATTGTTAAAATGTCGATTCCGGCAACTTATGCGACTAGATTTTCTTGAAGTTGAGACAACAACGAAGTTTATAATGGCATGCTGCGTACTTCATAATATTTGCATAGACAAACAAGATGTTATTGAGGGAGAAGAATATTGCGCTGAACCTGCTTCCGTTCGGGAACATTTTCATTCCGAAGTAAGTGACTCTGTTCTTACCGAGCTTGGCGAAATGAAAAGAAGCCAAATAAAGTCACTTTTTTGACACGTTTGCTTAAGCCGTGCCATGATACATGCTTTTTCATATAAATATGAAATATTTTATTAATCAAAGTATTTTACAGATGTGCTTCGAAGCAAGAGTGAATAAATATTTAAAAACAAATTTTTCTTTTGTTTCTTACAAACATTCGTATTTATTGAAAATAAGAGAGATCATGTTTATTTGCTTCAAATAGGTACAAAGTAATTCAGTATTTTAGTTAATTTGGAACGAACATATGTATGTAAAAAAATTAGTGGAACCGCAAGTCATAACGTGTTCAATCGTAAAATTTTAGAGTAGCATAAAAGTTTTGTTTTTCAATACTTGATTTTATGATTTTTACACGTTATGACACCTTGTAGAACCCTCTACGGTATTTACATATTTCGGTTCCCAGGCTTCTTAGCGGAATATAAAAAAGTTCAAGTAATTTCTCTTTCTGGTCCAACGTTTCGCCAAAAATCCGACGGATTAAGGGCAACGTCTTATACTCACGGTTATATATATATGTATACAGTGCAACAAAATTCAATATAGCACAGTTTGCCACTCATGTTTAATAATTTATATTTCCAACTTTGTACGGAATTTACCAAAACAAACTAAAAGATGTCTAAGCATGTCCATCAAAATTTCGCACTTTTTAATCAGAGTTTTTAGAAAATATCTGAGTATGCAGTTTTGTAGCCCAATATACAGTGGTGGAAAAATAAAATAGGGACAAGACATTTTATCAAATTTTTCCTATTTTTGTTTTGTTTATTTAACATTTATTATTTTTTATAAAAGTATAGCTCATTATCTAACAAAAACCATATCAATTCGTATTTCAAACTTTGCGCAAAACTTCTGCAAAATTGTATCTAATTTTTCAACATTTTTATCGACGTTTTTACAATTTTTTCGAGTATGTAGTTTTAGCCCATTAAATTTTAGTAGAATGAAGTCTAAGTTTAAAGTTGCTAAAAAATCGGGTCGACTTTTGGCAATTTTTTTAACGCAGTTTCTTCCATACAAGGTATATTCGAATTTTTTTTTCTTTATGGACCAAAGCGCGTAAAAAATTCAGAATAAAAATTATCAAGTTTGAAATATGAATTTATATGGTTTTTGTTAGATAATGAGCTATAATTGTGTAAAAAACAAAATAAATATTACATAAACGAAAGAAAACGAGGCAAAATTTTAAAAATGTCATGTCCCTATTTATTTTTCCACCACTGTATTTTAGTAAAGTGCAATTTTCAGTTTTCTTCGAGTATTCGTTATAGAAAGTGCACAACACAGCCGTAAAAAAATATCATAAAAGAACGCCACTCGAACAAAATTACATACTCAAATACTTTCCTAAATCTCTAATTAAAAAGTATGAAACAAGTATTTATGTGGTAAGTGTTAAAGAACGAGATAGACTTTTATTAAAAGTAAATTAGTAAACGAGTGGCGAACTTTGTTATAACNAGAACGAGATAGACTTTTATTAAAAGTAAATTAGTAAACGAGTGGCGAACCTTGTTATATTAAATTTTGTTGCAAATAATGTGTCCATATGTAGTTCTTGACATAAATAATTATTCGATAGGACTTATTGACAAGCTAATTGAAACTTGCATGTTATTATAAGAAAACTGAATGGGCTCTAAAACTGCGTTTTAAAATTCTGGTTAACAATTTTGAAACACTTATGACAATATTTTTGAATTCATTAAATTAACAACATTATAAAAAATTATTAAAATGAAATTAGAAATAAATAAATTCAACAATTTTATTGAGCCTGAGACCGTTTTAAATGAAAAATTATTGCGAAAAACAACAATAGTTTACAAATGGTAGAAGTTATCCTATTGCGGAGATCACCATATCTCTTCATCCGACTTCATAGCGGTCACTGGGATATGAACCAGCGACCTCGGATTAAAAAGTGGTCCACCCACTGGGCTAAGTGCGCCACGTTAACTATTGTTGCTTTTTTCACGGCCTCTAGCTCAATAAAATTGTTGAATATGATTTGTTATTAGGCCAATAAATAGCAAAAAAATACAAATAAATAAATAGGCAAAACTTGTCAATAAGTCCAATAATACGATGACGGACATATTATTTGCAACAACATTTCAATATGACAGTTTACTACTAATGTTAACTAATTTATTTTTAAAACAAATTTTTGAAGTAAAGATCGTTCTATAAGATACCACATACATAACTTAATAATCTTCTAGAAATTTTGGATAAAAATGTTGAAAATTGTTTGACATTTTTTTTTAATTTGTAGAAGTTTTCTGAACTTTGTATGAAATTGGAATCTACATACATACTTAGGTTTATATGGTTTTTGTTCTCGAATGAGATTATTATAAAAATTAATTAAAAATATAACTAAAAAATAATAATTTTGCTTACTTTAATCGAACATAGTGCTAGTGCCGTTGTTGCTATTGAAGTCGCTCCGAAACCCGAACCAGTAGCACCTACAGATGTAAATGAGCGAAGGGATCCCGGTAAAAGTGCTAATTGGAGAATCGTTGGGCCGGAATCGAAAGGCAGTTGCACGTATTTTATATCCAATCACGGAAACCTGCAAGCCAAAAGCCAAGAGATACACATATTAAAGTTTAATAGATCATAAGCAGCATATACAATTAGAACCTGATTCAATAAGTATTATATCTCGCACACTCATAGCTTCCAGGTGGTTTGCTGTCAGCCATCCATTTTTCCATAAGGCTTTCGATTCTTGCAGCTCTCTCCATTCTTTCTTTGTGTCGCCTCTCTCTAGCTTCCTCCTTCCTTGCAGCAATTTCAATGAGAGTTTCGTGCAACGATTTCCCCTTTCTTTGCTTTTCTTTTGCTGTGACCTTTTTTATTCCACATTGGCATATTTCGTCTATCTCTTCAAACTGCAACTTTTGGCGTTTTGCACCTGAGATGCTGTTATTTTTCCCTGGCGCCTTTTTACGTTTCATGATGGTCTTGTACCTTTCTTCACACTGCTTCCAACTTTTCCCGTCGAACTCCGCAGAAATCTTCATCCACATGTCCCTCTTTGTTTTTAATTGCTTGAAGGGGCCAATGTCCGGAAAATAGGAAGTGTACTTATCCAGCAGAAGCAGCGTTTCGCCTTCAGTCCATACTGCAAAAAAGCATCGTTTAAATAATAGCATTTTCGGCTTTTACTTTTCTATCCAAACATTCTCATATTACCTGTAACTGTTTTGCTCCGGACAGGGATTTCTTCTTTAACTTCCATCCTTTTTTTTTTTATTTTAAATGGTCCACAAAAATCTCCTCAATTTGTGCTCCGCTTACCGCCCGAAAAACAGCTGACTGGATTTCAGGGTTGCAGTTTGTGTTCTTTTGTACGTGTGAAGGGCTGCACTGAACCTTAAGATGGGGCAATTTCACAGGGTGAAGTGCAACTTTGAAGTACTTTTGCACCTCCGCATGGCAACATTTTTACCCATAATCATTAGCGAAAATATTAGGTTCTTTCCCTAACAATCCGCACCNACTGAACCTTAAGATGGGGCAATTTCACAGGGTGAAGTGCAACTTTGAAGAACTTTTGCATCTCCGCATGGCAACATTTTTACCCATAATCATTAGCGAAAATATTAGGTTCTTTCCCTAACAATCCCCAAAGGATCCGGTAATTAGAGAATAAGCGAAAATTTTGCCCTAAAAAATGGAACAAAGTCCAGAAGTATGGGAACGAAAAAAACTACATTTCATGCCCAGAATTTGAAAAACAGCAGATTGTCACTTAAATGCAAACACTTGGAAATTGAATTTTGGTTTCACAAATTTGATTTTATGTATATCGCCGATGTTTTTGCAAAACCGCCCGTCGCCCAATTGCAAAACCGCCTATCTAACGGCACTCAAATTTTACAGGAGAGCGAAAAAACGGTTTATTCGTTGAAGGCATTAGTTGTGCTTTCGTATTCTCCAGCAAAAAATATCCAGTAACTTGCCAGTAACCAAATCTCGGAGAGTAAGCCAATATTTCCTCCCAATGAGTGCAATATGCAAGAAAGTACGAAAAGGCAAAACCAACAAGAAGTTGTTAGTTTTATGAACAGCTGATTAATTAGTTATTTTCCGATGCTGTTTTCTTAGAAAACGAGTGTTTTCCATCTTATTATATATTTAAATAGGTTTATTTTGTCAATTGCAACTCTAAAAGCACCACAAACAATTATTTTCTTGATGTGATTTACAATAAGCATCATGCCATCAGCGGTTTTTCTTACTAGCAAATAGTGCGATTGCGTCAAATGACAACTATTCAGTGTTTCGTTTACATGTTTGAACATAAATTTTTCCAGTTTGTGAAAATTTAAATCTGCCTTATCCTGAGTTTCACCTGAAAAAAATTCACCCGAAAATTTGTCATCCGTCCATGGAGTAGTTTTGTGCTACTCTGATGTAATGCAGGGATGGAGTATATGGTCCTGCCCTAGGACATCGCAATGTTAATTGGACCATATTTCTTATATGAATTCTGGTTAATTTTGGAGCATGAACCAATTAGAACAGATCTGACCGGTTGAGAAGCAGCCATTTGTAATAGCAATTGAGAAAAAAGTGTGTGACGTTCGTAATTTTGAAGTTTGCTATTTCTGTTTTGCTTCTTTCTTTATGTGTATTTTGTCCGTGGTTTATTTAGTGATTTTTAAGTGATTTTTTGTGCAAATGTAATTCAAATGAAGTGCGCGGTGATTGGATGCAAAAACACGTACAAAAATAATAAATTGGTTAGAACAAACATGTGCACAACATTGCTTGCAGTTTTTCTTTATGCTACCTCTTAATATTCTTTGTTTACTTTTCACAGAAAATAACATGGCGCCGAAATTACAAACGTCAGCCAGAAAATTACTTTTTTCTTTTGCTTCATCTTGTCAGATCTTGTGTAGTTGGATCGTGATTTTGGGTACTCCTTGGGCCTTAGCGAGTACTCTTTACACGCATGCATGGAGTAGTCGCGATTTTTGCAGGGTTGTTGTACGGGAAAGAACCTACTGTATTTCCTTTTGGCTATGTTTAGTTTTCGCAGCGCCGAGCACAGCTGTTAGTTGGGGTTATATGCTTAATAAACAAAACTTATCAGCTGTTGCAACTTTTATTTGTAAGCTTTTGTTTATTTGTCAACCAAAATGGACAATTATCCACAAAAGTTAGTTGATCAGTATTTAAAGGCTTCGAATAAACTCAAAAAGTTTGATAGAGTCGTTTTCAAGTATGTTGATGATCTTTTGTATACCAAATATCCACTAAAAGTTTCTTTCCAACAGACGCTTTGCGCCTAATGTCACCGAGGTGCTGGAGGAGTTCGGACGTTTGGCGTCACGTTTCGAGGAGGCTGGTATCTTTCAGTATGCTGCAATGTGTCACTTAGGCGTTGCTAAGTGTGAGCTGTCTGCAGGAAATGTGATCAACGAATGCCAAGCTTACCTGAGAGCAGCTCGCGCTTTCATGCGCGTACACAATACAAACGCTGCACTGCAACTCCGTTCCAGCGGGGGCGAATTTAAGGAGGGTGCATTGCGTTGTTACTGTCAAGCATTGGAACGTTGTGCCGATGACACGGTTTTGAAGGCGGCTATAATCCGTGAAATGTCACCGCTGCAGCCACATTATGATGGCTGCAGTAGTTTTGCTTCCCCTGCACATAGAATATTTGAGCTAGAAGTAGCAGCACATGCATCAGTAGAACAGAGAGATTTTCTCAGCGCACTTCACCAGCTCGATGATATAGTAGATAATATTTGCGAGCGCAAACAGCATGAATTGTATGCAGATCTGCTGCAGCGTGTAGAAATATTACGATTGCTTTTGTTGATGGCGTTAAACCTGCCACCAGCGCGGCAGTCACCATCACATATTAAGCTAATGGAATATTATGGGCGATTGGCGGATCTCGAGAATGAAAACAAGGCGGGCGCAAGTTCGCCGCTTGCAGAGATAGGTGGAAATCACTATAGCACAGGCACTTATGTGCCGCCAGAAATGAAATGGGAGCTGTCGGAAATAGTGTTAGCCTGGAAGGAATGCCGAATAACAGACTACAAAGTAATGCTAAATCAGTTTGTGGCAAAATTTAATGCGCTCAATGAGGCACATCGGCATGTAGCGCGATGTATATGTGAGAAGTTGGAGGAAAAATATTGAGGAGGACAATAAGTGGGTGGTTGGGAAAGAAACAAAATTTGTTGTTAATCAAATAAGCGCATTAATTATTTTCATGCATATTTTAATAAATGTTTATTGACAGTGAACGTTATTGTTTTAATTAACTCAGCTAGTTGCATTTAATACGAAAGAGTGCAAGGTTGGTAAATCGATGATCGTTTTCCAAGCGTGTGGCTCATTTTATACTGTTATTTATATTTCCCTTTAAACAAAAAAAACGTTATTTGTGTATGAATGCCTGCAAATTTTATTTATTCTCAATGTGTTTATTACACTCATCATTTGTTGAAAGCTTTTGGCATACATTTTTCTTCTATTGCCGATTAAATACAATTTCATTTCACTTGATTTCTATTATCCGAATATAAAAAAATTCATCTTCTAATATGTAACCTATAGGTTTATGTTCACTTTATAGCAAACCTCATTTTTCAAAGGCAGTAGTTTTGCCCATTAGTGTTCAGAAAAATAAATGACCGCTAATTGAACATAAAAGCGGTACTTATTTCAGCACAAGTTTAGTTTATATAATTGTTATCCTTTAAAACTGATGTATTCTAAACTGAAATGTATAGTATTCCGAGAAGCCTCGGGACCGCCTAGCAGTTTTGATGACTGGATGGCTTTCAATACATTCAGAATATTAATTATTTGTAGCATAGCATATAAGTATTTATAGTAGATATTTACTGAGTAATAAATTACTTAAACAATCAATCACAAATGTCGTTCTGTTTCACGGAAATAGTTTTAAGTTCTGCTATTATTCAAATTACCCATATCCGCAATATTTTCAATGCTTATATTCAATGCTGTTTTAATTTCTTTCTTAAGACAATTTGATGTTACGAATATAGAGTTTTGCTTTCGCGCTTTAGTTACAATCATTTAAGCATATGTTCATTGGTTTCATAAAGTTTAAATAAATAAAAATTCGCTTGGCTAGCAAATTAAAATTGGTTGATTATATTTGCTTTTATATGTAATTATGTGCTTGCTTGATTTATTTCTTCTTCCGTTCATTTTCATTGGTAATTTTATTTTTCAAATGATCCTTGTAGTCCAAAATGTTGCCCTTCCATTTCGTAACAGTTTCATTTTCGCAGACCCAAATTTCCTCGGCAACCTTCAGGTAGAAACAATCTATTAACTCATTAATTAATTTTCATTATTCCATGTCACCCACCTGATTGATCAGTCGGAAATCGTGACTAACCAATACCATACCGCCATCAAAATCATTAATGGCATCAGCCAACGCGTCGATGGTTTCCATATCCAAGTGATTGGTAGGTTCATCAAGTAATAGAAGATGCGGCACTTGCCAAGCCAACCAGGCAAACACTACACGGCAACGTTGACCATCGGACAGTTGTCTTATCGGGCATACTTGCTGGCGGCCAGTCAAACCATATCGACCAATGATCTTACGCATCTCTTCTCTCTCCTTGACAGCGGGGAATTCGCGCATCATATACTCCAAAGGGCTAACATCCAAATCGAGCAATTCATGCAAATGCTGATGATAGCGGGCAATGCGCAAATGCGAATTTTTGCGAATCATACCCGAGGTGGGCACCAAATCGCCGTACAATAGTTTAAGCAGTGTGGATTTGCCCGCGCCATTGGGTCCGACCAAAGCCAATCGTGTGTCTAAATCAATACCGAATTCTAGATTTTTGTAGATCCATGGAGTATTTTCGTTGTAGCGGAAACTGACATTCTACGTAGAAATGAAATGTGTTTAAGGTGTGTCCAAAAGGAGGCAAGGTGTGTGATTCTTACAAGTTTGTACTTAACACAAAGCCAACTACCCAATTACACTTACCTGCACCATAATAACCGGTGGCGGCACGGTGCCGCAAGACGGGAAATAAAAATTCAACACTTTATCATCGGTCACCTTTTCGGTTAGACCTTGTGCAACCATTTTGGCAAGCGTCTTTTCTTTAGATTGTGCCTGACGCGCCAACTTAGCCGAACCGTGACCGAATCGCGCTATGTAGTTTTTCATATGCGAGATTTGATCCTGTTCCCAATTGTATTGCTTCATCTGATTCTCCAACAGTTCCATGCGTGTGCGTACGAATGCTTCATAATTACCAGTGTAGTATTTGAGGCGCTTCTGGGTCATGTGTATGATGTTTGTGCAGACACCATTGAGAAAATCTTGTGAATGAGAGATGAGCACAAGAATGCGCTTGTACTCCCTCAACTCTTCCTCGAGCCACACACAGGCATCCAAATCCAAGTGATTAGTCGGTTCGTCCAAAAGTAAAAGATGCGGTTTGACGAAAAGTGCACGGGCAAGCGCGATACGCATGCGCCAACCACCTGAATTGAGAAAAGAAACAATTACTCCGGGCTATCCGATTTTTCGTGAAATCTACGAAAATGCCATCACCGAATTCGATTAGCTACGAACTTAGCATATGATTTGAATTCATACATTGATTACTCCTGGAAATGTACGAGTAAGTTTCAATCTTACCAGAAAAGTCCTGGGCCTGTTTCTGTTGCATGTCTTTGTCGAAACCGAGACCATGCAGAATGCGTGCAGCCTTTGCCTCAGCCTGATCGGCTGACATGTCGTCCAGTCGCTCGTAGATATCAATCAATTGCTCCTGGGCATCATCCTCTTCACTCATTGCCAACTCTTCGGCTAATTTTTCCAATTTTATACGCTCCTCATCGACTTCCATGACGCACTTAAGCGCAGTTTTAGTAGACGCCGGTATTTCGCGCGTCAAATGGAAAATATCAATGTGGTCGGGTATTGGCACTTCACGTTTACCTAACACTGCCAACAATGATGACTTGCCACAGCCGTTCAAGCCAATGACACCATAACGACGCCCGCAATTCAACTCGAGCATTGTGTCTTGCAACAGCTCGGAGCCGAAGAATGTGATTGAAAAATTGGCAATTTTCACATCACGTGAACGAGGATGTACGGCTAGTGAGCCGGTACAAGAGCGTGCTTCGGCGCTAATACGTGCCTCTTCCTCTAACTTGGCGCACAGCTTTTCCTCCTCCGTCAATTCACGCTCGGGTGTGCCATTGGTGCCGTTTTGTGTTGGCTTCTTGGACGATGAGACTTGCTGGATTTTCTTGTTACGCGCGTCCTTTTTGCGCTGCGCATCGCGTTTCTTGGCATCGGAAGGCATTTTCAATTAAAAATTTCAACAAATTTGATGCTGTGTTGAAGAATATATGGAGTGAAAAATATTTCGCTGAAAAATGTAAANGCTGCGCATCGCGTTTCTTGGCATCGGAAGGCATTTTCAATTAAAAATTTTAACAAATTTGATGCTGTGTTGAAGAATATATGGAGTGAAAAATATTTCGCTGAAAAATGTAATATTTTCGTCAGTAATTCGGGACAATACTTAATAATTAAAATTTTGGCAGTTATAAAAAAAAATTTTTTTTTTCTACAAGTTCAAATTAAGTTGGTAGCGGTCAATTTAGAGAGCGCTAAATTCACTCGTTTGATCAATATAAGTGCATAAAGTAAACTTCTCAACCAATACAGTGGCAATGCAAACTTCCACGTCTACAGACAGCTTAGTAACTTTTCAGGCAACGTCGACCAAACAATAATACGAAGCATGAAACAATATCCGACCACTTGCCGCAGACAGTGCTTAGCGTAACAACTTAAAAGCTTAACCCTTCTTAAATGCGACACATATGGTGTCGTTCTTAAAACCTTCGCCACCTTATCCATTCAACAGCAACAAAGCCTCCCTTTCCCAGTTAGCTTATAAACAAAGCGGTAGATTTAAACAGTTGGCTGAGGCACCATTGTACACATACACTTGGATTTATTGTGGCTGCCAACACCAACACCATCTATTAGGAACAGACACAACATGGTCACAACAACAAGGTTACTGTAAAAACGCACATGTGCGCAAACAGAGAATGAGGTAGATACAATCTAAGCGGCGGTAAAAAACGAATATAAAGTAATACGCAAAAATCCAGAAACAAATGACGAATCGGCGGCAGATACACACGATCGCGATGGTGTAAAAATTTCGATTGCGTTGTGATGGAAAATTACAGAAACTAAAATATGCAACTCCTTAATGAAAGGTACATATATGCGATTATCTATGCAATTTTGTATCAAGTGCAACGTCATATTTGTTTCCTCCCAGAAAGATATCGCACATGCTGCCCGTGAAAATTCAATAATGAGTTATCACTTGGAAATGCTAGAACAAGACATTGGTGGTATGGGGGAGTAGCAGCGCCAGCGCATAGCAATAGAGCACTTAATTTTTTTCAGCTTATTTCATAATTGCACATTTCAAATTCCAATTCTACTCGATCTGTACCAGACAACGTGTTCACTTGAATACCCACCTATGTTGTTTTCCTTCGATTCCTTTGTAATTTACTTGGATTATTTAGGTTCCTGTATCGTCTGAATAACCGCAATTTATCTTGCAATTCCGTTTATGGTTTAAATTTTCACGTGCTGAAAAAATGCCCCCGACATCAGCGAAATCACGACCGACCAAAATCAGCAATCGAGAACGAAAAAACGAAAAGCTACACACACTGAACGCCCCTGCTGTGCCGTTGGCCATTTCAACGTGTGTGTTCAGTGTCGGACGCAGTAGCAGAGATGTATTTCAAGACAGCGATCCACAAACGAAATCATTGAATTATGTACAGGGAAAACTTTGAGGTTTTTTCGGATTTCAAACGAGGTATAAAAGCGTAAACAGACGGCAGCGCTGATCCGGATCAACTCGGGAATTAACTGCAATTGATCCGGATTAAGTCCGAGTTAGTCCGGATCAACGCTGCCGACTGTTTAAGCTTTAACTAACGCTCGTTTTTTTCAGACAAAAACTATATTTTACTGCGAAAAAATCCGATCGCAGTATCTCCATTAAAAAAAGCTATTTACACTACAGTGTGCTTTAGTAGCTGCCTTATATAACTGCGCTCGCATTCATGGCAACTCTAGAACGTTCTGCCATCTATTGCAATGTTCTGACCGACAACGAAAACACCTTGAAAACGAGTTTTGGGATTGTGGCAGTGTTGTTATACATAGGGACAAATCCCTACACGANTGCCGACTGTTTAAGCTTTAACTAACGCTCGTTTTTTTCAGACAAAAACTATATTTTACTGCGAAAAAATCCGATCGCAGTATCTCCATTAAAAAAAGCTATTTACACTACAGTGTGCTTTAGTAGCTGCCTTATATAACTGCGCTCGCATTCATGGCAACTCTAGAACGTTCTGCCATCTATTGCAATGTTCTGACCGACAACGAAAACACCTTGAAAACGAGTTTTGGGATTGTGGCAGTGTTGTTATACATAGGGACAAATCCCTACACGAAGGGATTTTTGTTGAAAAATAATGGCTGTAGGGAAAAAAGGACAGATTTTTAAAAAAGCTTGTAATGTAGGGAGTTTTCGACCGATTACAAAATATTTTTCACAGTTAGAAACTTTTCAATATTGTTATTGAGCTTTGTACCACTATGTTTTTTAGAAAACATGAAAACTTACAACAAAGGGTAAATCAGCCCGTTTTTGTGGCAACATTCTCGTAGTCGTGTTAGTGTGGCCACATTAAAATCATTCTATTAAAAAAAAAACTTTGCATTTGTGTCGTGTATTTGGCATACAAGTAGTTGAACTTGAGGAATTTGTGATCATTTTTTAATTGAGGATTTTATTTTCTACATTCTAAAGTTTTACACATGTTTGCGTTGGTAGCACTATTTTAGCAAATAATGAGTATATACTTTAGCAAATAATGAGTATAAAAACGAAAATTGGTCAAAAACAAAGTGTAGGGAATTTTGTACGGAAAAATATATGAGCGTAGGGAAAAATAGGGATTTTTATTTCGATGCGTGGGGACTTTTAAAAAAAGTATGTAACAACACTGGATTGTGGGCTGAAGGCTGTTCACACTCATGATTCAATAGAGAAAAATGTTTTCTCGCTCCCTCTTGACAAAATCGGCGCCCTTAGCAAGGCACTGTGTGTGGGTTCGTGTGTGTGTGCAAAGCTTTTGTAAGGGGGTTAAGGGAGTGTCAAAACTCTAAAGTCAACAATGAGCAAACCTTTAATTATTGAATCATGGTTCACTCATTCCAATCGGTGTCTACCCTAGTTTTTTTTTCGATTATTTATCGAAGTGGAAGTCATATTTTATCATTTTTAATACGCCATTTCGGATCATGAACCAAAAATACAAGATCACGTAAGAACGCGACGTTGTATTTGTAACTGGTTTTGAGAAAAAAGTTTGCGAAAGCGGGTTCGTCAGCTGAGCGTTTGTTAACATCACTAGCACCATAATTTACACTTTTATTCAAGTAAAGAAGAGTTAATTCAACATGACAACACATATTAAAGCATTTTGTTGCATCATTTTACCTAAATTGTGCGTTAAAAGTGGTTGACAATAATTTTGACTAATTTTGGTTTTCGTTGTTTTCTTTGCTTTGTGTACTTTTCCCTCGTTTTCCAGTGAAACCCGCAAAAAAAATCGACTTTTTTCACTGTCTTGTTCTTACGTGATCTTGTGTCTTTCGTTCATGATTTCGGATTTATTGTTAATTGGCTGGCAAAAGTAAAATAAGAATGAAAGTAAGAGGTTACTAATGAAAAGAAAATGAGGGAAAAGCATTTTGGTTTTGTTTTTGTGTAGTAAAACTGTAATCAGAGGATGTAAGAAATGTCAACGAAAACACTAACAGCCGGTGTGAACAGCCTTCAGCCCACAATCTCAAAACACGTTTTCAAAGTGTTTTCGTTGTCGGGCAGAACATGGTATAAGAACGCGACGTTGTGTTTGTAACTGGTTTTGAGAAAAAAGTTTGCGAAAGCGGGTTCGTCAGCTGAGCGTTTGTTTACATCACAAGCACCAGTATTTTACACTTTTATTCAAGTAAAGAAGGGTTAATTCAACATGACAACACATTTTAAAGCATTTTGTTGTATCATTTTACCTAAATTGTGCGTTTAAAGTGGCTGACAATAATTTTGGCTAATTTTGGTTTTCGTTGTTTTCTTTGCTTTGTTTACTTCTCGCTCGTTTTCAGTGAAACAAGATGGCGTAGAATCCGCTTAAAAAAATCGACTTTTTTCACTCCTTGTTCTTACGTGATCTTGGCGCGTATTCATAGTCCAGCAACTAAGTCGAAACTAACAAAGTTGCAACTTAAATTTAAGTACCAACTTAAAATTTGCCTCTATTCGTAGTCGCATTTCAGACTTCTACTTAAGAGCGAAATACACCACACAAGCGGCTTGTCAAACCTACTTTT